CAGGGAATTCCCGCTCCAAAGTCACCCTTTGGAATAACCACTGGATGGGACAAAGGAGGCAATGTACCAAATCCAGCTTTTAGACAAGGTGGCTCTTTAAGCCTAGTGACATTAGAGACCTCAGGAATGTTCTGGCCCTCTCCACGGTTACCTGAATGTCTTGGTGTCCTGTGTAACACCGCCAGGCTGTCCAGCCACAGGCCTTGACTCAGTGCACTGTTCGGGGGATGCCTTTGTCGTTAACCCATGTTTCTTCCTGGATATGTGTCTGTGTGCTACACTCACACTCATGGCTGTAATCCTCAGGGCGAAAGAAGATAACTGAAACCCTATCACTTACACAATTGCTCTTCTTGCTCAAGTGTTATTTCCCTTTAAACATGCAAACTCCTAGGGAGAGGAGCCCTGTTGGCTTCCCTGCTTACGGTTAGTTAGTAAGAGTCAGCTTGTGGGGCAGGCTCTTTTGTGAGAAGAGCTTTTGATGAGAACTTCTGAGCCTCTACCCGGTGTCTAATAACGAGGCACTGGGACTCTGGAAGGTAGTTGTATCTCCTTTATATCTGAGATACGCATCTGGCAGAAACTGCACATAGCTGTTTCTCACCACGGGTTCTCATATGAATAAACTTTAAGTTGCCTTCCAGTTTCCAGGAAAACTGTTAAACATAACTGTAAGTGGCAATATTTAGGGTAGGCAGGAGATTCAAGGTGGAGGAAGCATGGCTAACATCCAGGCTTAACATAAGGTCCAAAGAAAGGAAGTACTACACGATGAATAGTAGAAATCCTGAGCTTAGGAGATTCCAGATTAGGAGAAGGGGTTGCCTGGGAAGCTATTTAGGGTTTGGATGGTAGAAATCCCAGGGAAGACGTCAGTCCTTCCATGGGATGAGGGATGCAGAGGTTGGAACTGAGCTGAGCTCACCCAGAAGGAATATATGTAAACAGCATCTGGATGCATCCAGCTGCTGGAGAGCTCATTCATTCTCCTCCAATGCCCCTTGAATTTGGAGCTTTTTAATTCCTTTCCACTTCTCCAAGGGCGGTGTAATACAGTTTTCACAGCCCAGTGTAAGGTACCACACAGCTGAGATGTAAATTCCAGTGAGCACCGCGCCCCACCTCTCCACGCCTCCCTTTCCCCACCTGAGAACTGGAGATACTAGAATCTTCAACTTTTGCGGCCAGTTTTGGCCACCACGTTACTTAAGACATTGGCGATAGAGCTTGGCAGATGGAAAACACTGTATAGTTAGCTGCTTCTATTATTTCCCTATTGAGAAAGGGCACTGTCGATGGAGACAGATCCTGAGCATATGACTTTCTTGGTTAATAGATGTAAAGACAGATTGCCCCCTTTTTTGTAGTGAGAGCCCTCGGGATCGTAGACCCATGGCAGTGTTCTGTCTATGCCTTGATGCCAAGGACCAGGTTCCACCCTTTCCTCCCTAGCTGGGGCAGCAGAGCACCAGGTTGAGACCAACACCGAGGGCATTGAAGAGTCCCTTGAGTTTAGGACCTTTGCCTGTGAAGCTTAGAGATGACGACGGGCACAGGCATGCCTGCTTCCTTCTACACCTCTGAGCCCTCCTCCTCCCCACCCCCTCCTCTCCCCTAAACAGCTACTGAGCACTGGCTTGGAATGTGACAGTGGTGCCTGCTGGTGCACGTGGTGATAAGTGGCACACTGAAGGGGAGGGGACACATCTCAATGGTCTGGGTTCAAGAACCAAGTAAGGTCTCTAGCTTGCCACTTTTTGAAGTTCTGGCACAGAGGGAACCAGTGGCTTCTCCTTCCAGGGTGGCCTGCATTCGGAGGGCATGGGGTGTGTATGAGGTCAGACGAAGCAGGGTGGAGGTGTATGCTGGCACCCGACAGTGCAGCTCAGACTCTGGGCTCAGAACCACGCTGAGGCCAGTCCTAGATCCTCACTATGTGTGAGCCGTCTTAGACCTTCCCTCAACTGTGCACAGCACACGAGCCTTTTCAAATCCCTGGATGGCATTCTGCCTCTAAGAGTGAGAGATGAGCATGTGGGTAAAGGTTTAGGGCTATATCTCTGCTCTTGGGTCAGACCCTCACGCTTAAAATACTCCTTGACCATTTGATACTAATCATTAGAGTAATTTGAGATGAGACGATAAGGGGGAAATGCAGAATATGTTTTTTTTTTCCTCCTTCCCATCTCTCCTGTACGATAGAATGAATCCTGTTTACAGAGGACATCGGTATCCTGAGGGGTTGGTTGCTGTCATATCGAATCATTCTCCTGGCCCCAGCAACCTATCTGGAGCAGAGAACAGAACAAAGAAATAGCAGGAACTGAGGTCTATGAGGTAGTCTGGTTATTTTAGTCAAAAACGTGTATGATTTTAGAGTTTCTGTGCTCCAAGATGGCAACAGATCTGACTCTCCCCAGAGAATTATTTTTATAGTTATACCAATAATAATCGGGGTTTTTGGACACTTATTAGCAACCTCTCATAAAAGCAGCTCCCTCCAACGTGTTATGACTGTGGCTAGGAGCCTCCGCCTGCCACTCTGTCGGTCATTGGGAACCAAAGTCAAAAATCTAGGTCCAGATAGGTGATTTTGTTTTTTCTAGGACCCTCATAAAACCTAGCCATTTGCTCATGGAAGCGTGTTTTAACTATATCCACTGGCCTTTCAAAATCCCCCAATTCCCAGACATAATTCCCTAATATGTACAAGCTCCCATTCAACAATGATATTATCTAGATAACATTGGGAATTGGTTTTTAGATAAATTCTGCATTTTCCCCTAGAAGAGACAAAATATTATTATTATTATTATTATTATTATTATTATTATTATTATTATTATTTATTATTATTATTTAGCCCCAATTTCAACCATCTCCAAATTTTCCCTTGCAGACATCTACTGTGGCAGCATCTTGGCACCTGTTGGGTGTAAGTTTCCCTTCCGGTGGCCCCAGCTGTCTGAAGGAAGCATGATGAAGTAGATATGGTTTCAGCCAGACTACCCAGGCAGGCATACTAGCTGGTGGCCGTGGGCAGGCTGCTTCTCTTTGCCTCAGTGTCCATATCTGTAGAATAAAGACAGCCATGACATCTACTTGATCAGGTTGTTGTAATACTGATCGATAAATGTCAGGCATTTAATTCACTACCTCGCACGGAGTAAGAACTTCGGATGTTAGGTAATGTCTTGTCCCATTCGTGGTACCTCTAAGCCCTACTCCCTGAGGGATGAGGACCTTATCATCCTGTTGGGCAAAGTAAAATCCGACTTTTCCTTTCTACACTGCGAATGACCTGACAGGCAGAGTGTATGTGGAGAGAAGAGGGGCCATGACGCCTGGGTGCTGAAGGAGGGGGTACCTCTACTCCCCCAGCAGGTGTCTTACTCATTTAGAAGAATTTACTGTGCATCACAATGGACCAGACCCTGCTGTATATAACAATATACACACCCTGATTATATAACAATCAACAAGACAAAGCAGGACTTTTCACTCTTGAGCTTGTATCATCAAGATACCACAAGCCCAGCATTCTATGAGAATTTCTCATCAATTGAGTCTCTTTCAGTACAACACATTCAGAACAATGATTCTTAAATCTCTTAATAACCATAAGATACTGAAGTGACCTGTGACCCACGAGAGAGAGAGAGAGAGAGAGAGAGAGAGAGAGAGAGAGAGAGAGAGCATGGTAGCCACCATAGTTCTGATGGTGTGCAGACTCCACTGTATTTGAACACTATTTTGAAAGAAGCAAATCCACATAACAATAAGCCACAGTCTCCTTAAGTATTTAAGTTAAATGACTGAGACCCCAAACTCTTATTTTTTTTTTGTCTTCACTTTTTGTTGTTGTTGTTTTTAGATAATGTCCCATGTATCCCAGGTGGGCCTTGAACTCACTGTCTTTGAACTTCTGATCCTTGCATCTCTGTCTCCTGAGTGCTGGGAATACAAGCGTGATGCTCCACCTAGTGTATGCCACGCAGTGGGGATCGAACCCAGGGCTCTGCGCATCCAAGCATGCACCCAACCAGCCGAGCTCCAGCCCTTCAGACCCTTCAAAGAAGACAGCTCAGTTGTAGTGTTAGCTTTCACTTAGTTTTCTATGTTTCAGTGTGTCTTTTCTAAGTCTCTGGATTGTAAGCTTCTTTGGGAAGTAATCTTTGCAAAGAATTCACCCATCAGGAGATCTCCTTCTAGCAACTAACTACTCATCCAACTACAGTTACCAATGGCTAATGCACGATGATGCATGTCCCACTGACCATGGCTGATGCATGATGCAGGTCCCACTGATGCTGCTGCTTGACCATCTGTCAGGAAGGAGGGACTGGTCAGGGTGAAGGGAGGAACCATCTCTGTTACTTGAGTTCTGCCCACACCTTCCCTGGTCGCTGATTTGGGGACTGTTCTCTGATGCTCAAAGGGAAGTCTTCAGGGGAATCTGGCCCCACCCCCCAGAGTCTCTCAGCTTCTCTGAAATGGACCCAAGGGGTGGAGCTCACTAGGGATCTTTCTCGTACTAATACTTCCAGGGTTCTTGGACTGTATGTAATCTGGGAGAGTTTGAGAGTGGTTCCTGTTTGGGCCTGATGGAATCCATTTGCTAAAATGAACAAGAAAAAAGCCAGGGATCTCATTGTTTTGATGTAGGTTTACACACACACACACACACACACACACACACACACATCATGTATATACATGCATCATGTGTACCTATGTATCAACACACACATGGATGCATTCTGAGGGCAGCATACCTGTCTGCGCCAACCTCTGGTACACACACACACACACACACACACACACACACACACACACACACCACGAGTACCCATGTGTAAATACACACATGACACATACTGAGGGTAGCACACCTGTCCGCCCTAGTGTCTGGACTCTCAAAGAAGAAATAAAAACACTGAATTCTTCCACAGTGGCTATCACGGGAGGAAAAGGAAGAAACCTTGGGGAAGGGACACGCGTGGTAGGGAAAGACATTTTATTTCCAAGCTTTTAAGAGAATATTACAAATAACAGAGAGTTTTAAAAAACCCTAAAAACTAGTTTAAAAAAGTACTCAACAGTGTCCTTTTAATACCCAAGGAAGGCGCGTCCATTGTGCCATGATGGTAAGAAACTGCGGGTGACCACCCAGCGGCCTTCCCTGGCAGGTCCCAGAACACACGGGCGGGCTCCTGAGACAGTGCTCCCCACTGGCTCCTTGGAGTGCTGGGCTGCACAGGGAGGACCAAGGTGCGCACGGCACCGCACTGAGCACAAAGTGAGCGAACTGCCTCTTCAGGGAGGGTGCCGGTGCCAGGAGGCCAGGAATACTTAGATCGGTGTTCACTCCTTCCTTGAGATACACGGGCCAGCGTCACCCCACACTGCAGCAGACCCAGGTGGGAGGGTCTGTGTGTGTGTGTGTGTGTGTGTGTGTGTGTGTGCGTGCATGTGTGTGCGTGTGTGCATGTGCATGTGTGTGTGTGTGTGCATGAGTGTGCGTGTGTGCATGTGCATGTGTGTGCATGTGTGCGTGTGTGCATGTGTGCGTGTGTGTGCCTACCCTTTCGAATGCCAAGGCCCAAAGGACATGGCACTACATTATCCCGGGTGTGGGTGAGGCTCAGTAGTGGGGCGAATTATCCCTGGCCTGGCATTTGAAGGTTGACGCCGCAGCAGCAGTTGTGTGCTTGAGATACTCAGGAGAAATCCATACTTCCCTCTACACACACACACACACACACACACACACACGCACGCACGCACGCACGCACACACGCACACGCACACAGGTATGTGTGTGAAGAGTCCCCCATCCTGTAAACATCTTTGAGCCCATATCACCATAAAATAAACAAGGGAACAGAAAGATAGATGCCCATCCCCAAACCTCAGCCTTCTTTGAGCTCACGTGATGCTCGTAGTTACAGCTAGGAGAGTTCTCTCAGGGGGACACAGCCCCATCTCTCTGGCATATCCGCAGCTCCCTTCCTGAACGGTCTCCCGGGGGGTCCGTGAAGCCATTAGAGTCACTGGAACTTTGCAGAGTGCAGCCTCCCACCCTCCATCCCCCCAAGCATGGTAGGGGTACCAGCTCACAAGGTCCCACTCTCTCCCTGGGGCACCCAGGGCTGGGAAGCAGCACCCAGGGAGGAGCAAACCCCAGACTGAGAGAGAGAGGTGCGGGTTACAAAAGCTGGTCCACGGGTGGCCTTGGCTTGTTCTCTTCGCTGCCCTCACAACCCACAGGGGCAGCAGGTACCTCGGGTACCCGCCGCCGCCGCCGCCGCCGCCGCCGCCGCCGCCGCCGCCGCCGTTTTCTGCCCAGCCCTTTCTGGGTGCCTTGCTACTTGTCATTCTGCAGGGAGGAGCGTTTTCTGGGGGCGGGTTCCATTTGTCCCACCCACCGTTGTGCAGTCTGTGAAACCCAACAGACTGGAAATCACAGGCGCTCTCCAGCAGGCAGCCTCCCCGTGGCTCCCCTCTGCTCCAGGCTCCCTCGAGGCCCCCCACCCACGGCCGGACTTCTGCCTCCCATTCCTGCTTCCTGGGCCCCTCCTGGCCCAGCCGCTTTCCTGGGGTGTGTGTGTGTGTGTGTGGTCTCAGCCTTCCTCCCCGGCCTCCTTTCACACCGTGGTGACCCTCATGACGAGTTCTCGGCTGCCGCCCTGCGTGCTCCGCTGTTCGTGAGGTCTCAAGTGACTCAGGATGTGCAGGATGGTGTAAGCACAGTGGTGTTGGGACCCAGGGCCTGAGGGGTGGCTGGCAGCCCTGGTGGGGCCCTCTTCACGGGCAGGAGGGCTGGCTGCCTCCTCTTCCGTGGAGGGGATATTGGCTTGGGTTGATGAGGAAGTCCGCAGGTTTGTCCTGCCTCCTGATTTTTGATCCTCTAAGTCTTTTGTCTTGTCATAGTTCAGCACTTTCCACTGCTGGTTGACGGCCTGCCATCGTTTAAAGATGCGGTATACGGAGGGTCCTTCGTGGATGATGAGACCTGGCAGGAAGAGAAGAAAACAAAGGCTGAGCAAAGAAGGCAAGTAACTGTGGGAGAAAGCCAAATCTACCTTCCAGCTCTCAGCCACTTGACGCCAGGGCAACTCCAGGTTCCCTGGGCTCCGTTGAGTCACCAGAAGGAAGAAGATCATGAAATCGTGGAGATCTGCATGAAACGCCTTTGTCTACTTCTGCTCCATCCTGCCCCCTTCCTGACTTGACACAATTCAAAGTCCCCAATTAAGTCATAATGTAAATATTTTTTCCCTCCCTGTATTGCATATTCATGACGCCCTGTGCTTAGCAGGTGTTGAATGAATCATGCACCTTTAAAAGGCAACATCAATGGGATCCTGTGGTCATTCCAATCCTGCTGAATGACAGACATCTGAAACTCCTTTTCTTAGCTCTTTGCATAGCCTCTGCTACTGAAATACAAATCCCCCTGGCAGAGTGAACGTTCTTGCCCTTATATTGGCCAAATAAAGTGGGAGCCACATCTAGCAAGCCACACACAAACAAACCACATACAAGGCGACAAGGCAAATGGATAGCAGTTGAAGGCCTACTGTGTGCAAAGCACTTGGGATCCGGAGGTGCCTGAGACAGGAAGTCTTGCTGTTGGAGAACTTAGATTTAAGTGAGAAGGCACGTAGGAGACATGCAAATAAACCAACTAGACCCTTTTCCTGTGCTGGCACATGCTGGGAGGAAGATGAAATAGGGTTAAACAGCCCTTGGCTGTAGGCATCTGGGGTCTTGTTTTAGAAAGAAGGAAGAGAAAGGCCATGGAGTTGAGGTCGGCATGGCTAACACAGCGCAAACATTTGGGTGTGGAGAGGGGAGGAGGTGGCGGGCAGAGCCCCAGATATGATCATGTCTTACATTTCTCCAGTATAGTGGGAATGGCCCGAGGAGATTTAGAAGAGGGAAGGACATGGACAGATCTGCTCTTAAGAAAATTCACTGGTGCCCCCAAAGGGGCGAGACTAGAAATCTCCAACGAAGCAGGAAATGACACAGCATTGAAGGTGGGAACCGGTGACCGGTGCTGGGTGGAGTGATGAGACGTCTTTAGACGCAGGATGTGCGTCGCAGGTAGAGCTGACAGACTTGCAGACAGATGAGCTGTGAGCACAGAGAAGCATCTGAACAACTGTGAAGGTTCTGGCTGTCATAGCTGGGCGATGAGGGCACCATTTGCTGACGCCCCAGGTCCCAGGGCTGGCATGGGGATCTGTATGGTGGTAGTGACTATGGCTGCCACAGTCAGTGTCCAGAAGCTCACAGGAGCAATGTGGACTAGTCACCCTCACCTCCTCACTACAGCACAAGGCCTGGATGGGAACACCTCACAGCGTTTCCGCTTCAGCTCGGACTCTGGGAAAAAACAAGAGCCACCCCCAGCCGCTCCTTCCAGCACCCAACAGCTCCTGCAATTGCACGTCTCTCTACGCATCTGCAAGAGTTCACCGAGAGACACACTGGTTCCGAGCCGTGGGTAAACCCAGACAGCAGTTTTAGAGGGAGCCTAATTTCCTAAAGACGCCCCTGTGGACCCCTGACCCGGTGCGATGGGTGCTGGACAAAGGCTTCCCCTCCGTTCCCAAGGGTGCCAACGCCCATTACGTCTGTGTACCCTTAAACGTGTACCTGTGCGCCATCAGTACTGAAGCTACTCCTTCATCTGTTTGTCCCACGTGCCTTGTTCGCGTGCGGCCTTGTGCCGTTGTCCAGGCTACAGGCTCCGGCTGAGTCTCCACAGCCAATGCAGCACCAGGAACATCACAGGGACTCACGAGGGAGGAGCCTGGGCCCCGGGTACAGAGAACCGGGGGCTTTTAAGGCCCCAGACAAAATTTCTGGCTGGCATCGCTACACTCCATTCTTAATTAGCCTCTCGATCAGACAATTTTACTCTGATTGAAGAGGGTGCCCTAAGTTTTTGGTTTGAATCCTGCCTTTTAATTGCCTGTCTCGTGTTCAGGCAGTAATTAAACCGTTTTAATGGATAAGTGGCTGAGCAGGGAGGAGTGCACCTGTTTTTCTAGATAACACTTATTTGGGGAAAGTTGGAAAAACATAAACTGCCTCATTTCCATTCACTCCTCTTAGCAACCACCACCGCCCCCCGCCCCCACCCCCACCCCCACCCCCGCGCCTCCACCCTCTCCTGCTTCGCCGAAATAAGGACTGAGTCCTAGCATGGAGGACGTGGTTTTTAAAAACAAGGAAGATGACCAGGCTTAGGAGGGCATCCACCGAGGTGGGCCAAGAAGCCTGAGAGTCAGAAGAGAGCGGTGGCCTGAGAAGGAGCGGGAATTCAGGCGAGCAAAGGGTGAAGAGTTTGAGATAGAGGAGAAAGAGAGGACCCCCAGTCCTGACTGCATGAACCACCGTGGTGGTGCAGGCCTGCAATCCCGGCATGTGACAGGAAGAGGCGGGAGGTCGGGAAGCTTAAGGTCATCGCTGACCACAGAGAGAGAGTTTGGAACCAGCATGGGCTTCATTCGACCCTGACTCAAAAACAAACAAGAAAAGAAGA